ACACAGATACTGATGGCGAACATGGAGCTCAGGCTGAGGCTGTTGCTGTCTTCGTGGAACATGGCGAGCGTCACCTCGCAGTGCCGGCCCCGGTATCCCTCGCTGCAGCGGCACGAGTATCGGGACGGAGAGTGAGCCACGCAGGTGCCGTGGCGACACGGCCGGCTGGCGCAGAGTGTGTAGACGCAAACTTTTCCCAAAGAGCTCTCTTTGGTTATGTGGCCTGGGGGGCATCTGCACGGAGAAGACACAGCAGCGTAATGCTGAGACAAGAAGCACTTGGGAAGCTGTCAGATAAAAAAAAGAGCAGTGCACTCCACAGAGTTATGAGACCTAAGCTGACAGTGTAAAAATAATACCCTGAGGAGTTACACCTCTTATATCAGATTCAAAGATATGCTCTTTGAAGGTTACAGTGTCGACTGTAACTGGAGAGGGGGGAAAAACAGTAAAAGAAATTGAGAAGCTAAGATTGGCTTTGCTGTAGTGGTTCCTCTGTATATTTGCACAAAATAGCCCCTGAATATCATTCACCCCTACCCCCTGCTTCTCTCACTGGTTTGTATCCTGAGGCACTGCAGTAATGACAGAATATGGATGTCCAAGTTTCAAAATCACAAAATTTAGTCGTCCTGCAGAGTTTAAAGGTGCAGCCGAGGCTCTGACTGTCACTGCTGTTATACAGTCACGTTCACACGCTATTAGACACACAGTATAACAGGCGTGCTCTTAAAATAGCTGCCATCTGGTGGACACTTTGACTTTAAGTGTATACATAAAAATGGAGTTTGCACTAGCGTGGAACTCTCTGTGTTATGATCCGCTGTCAGGGCTTATTAAGGCACTTAACGGAGCCAAGCGAACAAGTGAGCATGTTTGTCATGGTAAGTGTCTAATCTAAGAATCTGAAATCAGCACAGTGTTGGAATGTTTTTAATTGCTTCTTTTCAAAAGTCCACAAAAATCTTTGTATTATTATGTTGACGTAAATGTAATATTTTTTTCTCTGCTTCTTATCTATTGTTATTTTTCTATGTGCTTAACCCTTTAAGACCTACCATAGAACCAAG